GCCATCTCCAATGGAGATACTCCACCAAAAGTAACCATAGAGTTTCTGGCAAGTGATGCTTGTCTGAGGAGTTGACGGTACGTAATCTCGTATCTGGATGGATCCTCAGTCACGGCCTTAAGCATCAGGGCTCTGCTTTTTGTACATGCGGACAGCTGCTTCAGCTCTATTTGGCCATGGAGTGCCAGGTCCTAAAGTAATCGGTCGGATATTCTTCCTATTGTAAAAGGATTCAAGTTCAGTACCCATGAAACCTTGATCACCGACAAGATACTTAGGATTCAACTGGTATGTCTCAAAGTACTCCAAAAGATGGCCGCGGCCAATCATTTCTGCTTCAGTCTTGCCGTTACATACGTAAGCAGTGGTCATAGAAGTAGCACCGTCATAGATAATCAGGAAAAGAAGTTTGGACTTGTCATTGATAGCTAGTTCACCATGATCAACAAAGGTGAGTTCTCCAAACGTTTCACTTCTCATACCTGAAATTCTTGATCTTGAGGGTGCAATTTTCGACTTCTGACATGTATCACACTGCTTAACTACCTTCTCGTACTCGTCATAGATCTTAGCAGGAATCTTCAAAGCTGAAGTACGTTTCTTAAACTGCTCTGTTGACATGTGATAGTGCTTCAAATGCAGTTTCAAGAGTTCAGTTGGATGAGACAGCTTTTCATGAATTCTCTGCAACGCTAACGGCAATGTTACAGAAACCTTAGGCGTGTTCTTCTCTCGATGAACTATTGTTGGTATTGGTTTCACGTCTTCCTTTGATTCTTCCTGAGGATCAGGCTTCACCGGCATGTCAGGTTCTGCTGGAGGTACATCAGGCTTCTCGGCTCCTGAGCTCGAACTTGGAATCTTCGAATGCTCAAATGGCGTACCAAAATCAGGTGACTTTTCTGTCTTCCGGTATGTCGGAGGTGTCACCTTCTTAGCCGGTGGAGGCATCGAAATAAGCTTCGATGGCGGATCGACTTTGGCATCTCCACTTGCGATGTGCTTCTCTGGCTTCTTAGCCGGAATATCGGCTGCTGACTTGTCTTCCTTCACTTCTGACGTCTCTGCCTTCTTGCATCCATCTTTATATGTGTGCTTACGATGCTTTCCATTGCACGCAGGACAAGCTGCATACGAAGGATTGATTGCAGTGAAACTGTGGTTCGGCTTACGAACTGAGCTGGCAAACATCATGATGTCTAGGACATTATGGTTCGAAGTGCTCACTGGCAGCGAAAATCGCTTCAGACCGAACAAAGGACAAGTCAAATAGTCGCCGACTGGAGTATGCTCAACAGACATGCGAAGGTTCCTGAGCTGTTCAACGCTAAAAAGAATCGGAACATCGCCCTGGTCCAGGATATCTATCGCTGTTGTGATCCACCCTGTGGGTGACTGGTCGTTCTGGAAGTAGATTACCAGCTTCTCTCGGACATTGGACTGTTCACCATTTGCAAATGAAAATCGACTTGACGAAGGCTCAAAAGAGAAATCAATCTTAGATGCATTGTAGTGTCTCTTACATGCCTTCACTAGACGCATAATGGCGGTCCTTGAACCCATTGCTCTGGTACAGCCGCTGTCAATGATCACGTAGGTCGGACTGTACCTCAAGTCGATGTATTCAGAGAGCAAAGCATGGTGAAATCCATCGTCAAAGTTGACAAAAGAAGAACAGAAGCGTGGATCAATCACTTCAGAACAACCGGAATGTCGGTAGTCTGTACTGCTACCGGCAGGGTTTAGGTGATACTGATGTGAAACATGTTCTTCACCAGTCATTTCTTCCGCCTGTGTTCCGTAATACTGGAAATCTGCTGACTGGTTCATCTGGTCAGGCCTTGTCTCTGAGCTGTGGTGCTCTTCATCTTGCGGTCTGTCCGTCTGTCCGTCCGCAAAGTATGTCCATTGTTGCCAAGTGGCTTCATTTGCCTGCCAGACATCTTCAGGATAGTACTGGTCTGTGTGATATCCATAAGAGTCCCATGACCAATTTGCTTCATGTGCACTCCAGGTTTCTTCGGCGCTAGGAGTTGGCTGAGCTGATGAAGGCTCTTCGGTGGTTGCAACATTGGATTGTCGAAAGGGATTCTGTTGCTTGCTTTTTCCTTTGCCCTTGAATGCATCTTTTCCCTTGAATCCTTTCTTTCCACCTTTCTTTCCTTTCTTGCCTTTTCCATAGAAACCTGATTTGTCAGGGTACTCTGCATAATGTGCCCCTGCACCTTTGCCTCTACGGCTGACAAAGCCGGGTCTTCTACCTTTTGCGCGGCCTTTTCCTTTGCCGCCTTTGGAGGGTTTTCTGAATCTTCTTCCATGGATTCTTCTACGGGTGTATCCTCCTTTGGCTGCTAACACCCAAAATTCGGATTCTGAGAACAAACTCACAAATCCTTCTTCGCCTGTTTCTTGATCCATCACCCAGTATCCGGATTCTTCTTCCAAGTCTCCTTCATCGAGGACAAGGAAAGTGGATCTTCTTTGCCTGCGGATCGAAGGATCGGCAGTTCCTGTGGCGGTTCCGCAAAAGAGATCAAGGAATAAGCCTTTGACACCTAAGTATGTGTAGTTGTTCATGTTGATCTGACGCAAGGCCATGCTGGCTACAAACCTTTCTCTTTGCTGTTCGTTGAGATCCGACTGAACTAAGAAAATAAGTGACATCAAGTTGTCAGACAATGGAAAGGTGTCACGATGTGCTTGTTTCAAGGCATCAATGTGTTCAGAACGGATTCTTTCTGCGTTTTCTCTTCTTTCTGTTGGATCTTGAATTTGTTGAAGTAGCATGTACTGCTGTTGCGAGAGGATATCAGTAAAGTTGAAATCATCAGGCTGTGGAACAGTCGAAAGATCTAACAAGCCCATGAAGGCTTCCATGACTTTCTTACTAGCGACTTCAAAACGAGCGATCCATGACAAATTCTCCGTTTCCGCGCCAGGTCCTGAAGAGCTGCATGAAACGCCAAAGAAAAACATGATTTGCTCCTTTGACAAAGTATGGGCGCAACGTCTCCTTGAAATACGTAATACCGTTTCTTTCATGACGAAGCTGTTCATTGTCGAGCATCTTTTTGTAGTATTCGGCGTTTCCGGTTAGAGCGTTCTTCAATGATGGGCCTAATTTTTCGGCGCTTAATGTGGTGATGTTCACCCAGTCATCAATCAAATCTTCAAACTCGAACCAGGATGACTGTCCATCGAATGACGGAGGAATTTTTGGCGTCATCTTGACACCTGCTGATGGCTGCGCCTCGTACGTTCGGTACGTCGAACTCGAGGACCTTCCTTGCTGATGGCGATGACGCGTGCCTTGTGCGGCGAAAGCTTCTTCTGGATCAGTTGCTTCCGACAGGCTGTCGTCATGCTCTTCGTCCGTATCTATGTTAAAGATCTGGACCATGGTCTATTTGGTTTCAGACAAGTGACTTACTTGGCTGTCCCCTGTCCGGAATATCGGACGATTCGGCACGAATGCAAAATCGACCGTTGCGAAGCAGGAGACACAAGCTCCGCTACCACTTTGAGGGGTAAGTTCCCCCAGAAGTGGCAGTTGCTTAACTGGACCTGATCGAAACACCAAGTGAATCACACGAATGCGATCGGTGTGCGAGCGACAGCGATACAGACTAATCTATACAGTAGAACAGGTGCTACACACGTATAGCGTAGACACGCCTAGGGGGACCTAGGACACTACCAAACACAGAGGGAAGGGGGAGGGAAGGGGGAGGGAAGGGGGAGGGAAGGGGAAGGGAAGGGGAAGGGGAAGGGGAAGGGGAAGGGGAAGGGGAAGGGAAGGGCAGGGCAGGGCAGGGCAGGGCAGGGAAGGGAAGGGAAGGGCAGGGAAGGGCAGGGCAGGGCAGGGCAGGGAAGGGAAGGGAAGGGCAGGGCAGGGCAGGGCAGGGAAGGGAAGGGAAGGGAAGACGCAGAAGAATGGGCAAAGAGCCATACCAAGGAGTGAAACCCATCCACGACCTTGCGTGCGACAATCAAATCTGGCATCCTCGCCTTGCAAGTCCGTTTGCGAGCTGGCTTGGCATGCCTGGCACGTCTAGCAGCGTCCACCTGGGATCCGCAGCAAAGATGTCTTGCACGGTTACACATGCATAAAAACAGAACTTGACATGAAACATGAACGAACACATAGTATCTCAAAGTATTGAGTCTCACAGTCTCACAGGCCATCTCACCACAAGAATCGCATCATCTGTGCTTCAATGCAAGCAGAGTCCTTTTCTTCAATCTCACTCTCAGGCTTTGGATTGATGACCTTGTCGAATATAGAAGTTCAATTGACTCAAGTTTTGTCCCTTCTTCAACTTTGGCACTAACGGGCATCAATCCTTGGAGACCACAAGCTGTTGCAGCTTGTATCAGCTTTCAGCAAGATGGTGTAGGTGCCTAGAAGCGAACATGCAAAGAGTGTGGCAGCTGCACAACATCCTGTACAATTACTGTATCTCGTCTCAACTCAACGCGAGGTTTGTACGATTATAAGCCACCTCAACTCGATCGTATCTGCAGGAAAAGCGGGACTTCTTCTTTGATTCTGTGGCGTACGTAGGCCAGAAAAAAGTTTGTCCATGTCCGTTGACAACAAGAACTGGAATCTGACGTCGATCGCTTATCGATCGCCTGTTGGCATCACCCTTCACCATCTCTGTCCATCAAGTTCCCTCGAAATGAGAGGTCTTCAGAGATGTCAGAGACCTCACGAAGTGATTTCGTCAAACTCCAACTTGGCCACTCCTGGCATATGGAAGGCTTGCCTCATTGACTTCAAGTAGTTCTGGTTCTGGGGCTTGACGGTCTTCTTGCAAATGCTGGATCTTTACCTATGCAAATCAACAAGATTTGGGGAGCTCAAACCTTGGCAAATATCTTTCAACAACTGAGGACTCAAATCTAGCTTGCACTGCGATATTGTGGATGCAAAAAGACGTTGACACCCACCAACTGGGTCCTCATTGCATCCAGGACTGTGTTTGCACGGGCTTTTGCCAGTAGACTCCGAAGTTTCATTAAGACCTGTTCCACGTCCTTGGCCATGTGACGGCAAAGTTTGTTCACGCAGAAACAATCGGTATTGAAGAAACTGTGCCGTCACTACTTGCGTGTGTGTGATGCCTCTTCGCAGCTTACAATCACACAGTTCTGTGTCCAGCAAAAGCTACAACTAGAACGTATAGTATACAATGTTACGAGTTGTCAAAGGCGTTGACTTACACAACATGTGTTTGCTCGCTGTAGTCACGTCTCCAACTAGCAGCCAATTGTATCCTGACGTCGCTTGTCTGCTGATGTGGATTCTTCACGGAGTCTTGCTTGGCTCAAACGTCAATTCAAGCTATTGCTCCACAGGATCAAGCAATAAGGTGTGGTTGTGGGAGGCAAACATGGAGGCAGTGTAGCATGCATCTATGCATTTGTATATGGCCCAACATATGTAACATGTGTTTGGTCTTGTGGCTGACGTCCGGCGGAAAGATCGCATGCACTCCGGCACAAAGATGGACATAACATTGTTGCCAAGAGTTGGATGCAGCATCGATTGTCACCCAGAAGTGGCAGAGCCAAAGAAAGTGCAAGGCTGGCTTGCCTTTGTCAAAGCATCAGGGCATGACTAGAAGGCAGACTCTGGACGACAAATTGAAACCCTTGGCATCCCTGCAATTCCTTAGATGCGATCGTCATTCCCACAACAATGAACTTCAACGAACTATGTCACCTCCCAGTGGATCGCTGTCCACCAACACTGCTCAATCCTAAGACTTTGGCCACTGGAATCACTCCTTCGGGTGAATCCTGGAAAATGCAGTGCATCAAGTGCCGGTTGAGACAGCATCTAAGTCTAGTCACTAGTTACTAAGTTTTATGCCATCAATGAGCCCCTTCACCAGAGTTTGCAGAACAAAGTCGATTGAAAACATACAGTAACTCTTGGGCACTTGCACAGAATTGCGGCACCAACTTGCAAACTCTCGCAAGACCTTTAGCGTAATAAGGATCGCGGTATTCCAGCCTGAGACAGCTCCAGGGCAACAGCTCTGGTGCTTGGGTTCCTCAGGCTCGCTCGCGAAGAGTATTCGCGCAGGCAAGCCCCAAATCCGCCCACACCGCTTGTCGGTGCAGGGCGTGCTATGGGGCTCTAAGCTCTGCTGCTATGCAAATAGCTTTGCTAGGGGGGGGTGCCCTTTCTTTTCGCGCGTGCGCGGCTATGGTTGGGCTGCAGGGCCACAGGGGAGAGCGTTTTGGAGGCACATTTTTGGATGATCTTTCGCTACGTCACGCTTGCAGGCCACTGGGGAGAGCGTTTTGGAGGAGGTTTTGTGTTTTGGGGTGGTTGCTGCGTTGATTCTTGCTCGGCTGCAGGGCCACTGGGGAGAGCGTTTTGGAGGTGTATTTTTGGATGGCTTTTGGCAAGGCCGAAGTTATATCACCATTATCGGCCCCAAGGTAGACGAAGTTGGCCCCAAGATGGCTCCAACGCAGCCGCAAGACAGCCAACCTGGAGCCTAGATGGCTGCACTTGTCCCCAACCTGGCGCCTAGATGGCTACTTCCATTTCACTAACTTCGGCTGTTCGTGCGAGGTGTGGGCGGCTGTCGACGCGAAGCGTCTTGAATATAAGTGAAGTGGATTGCAGTGTCTCTATGTATCAACAGCATAGAGCAAAGAGACGTGGGAAATCCAGCAAAATGATAGCCAGCCTGCTGCACACAGTTCTTTTGCACACTACATTGAAATAAGGTTCAATGTCGTCTTGTCCAAACTCACATATTTCGTTAGGACTTCGTTAAGAGATTTGAGCTGAGTGATCAGCTGGGACAAGGAGGTGTTGCCCATGACAACTGCTATGTTTGCCTCCAGCACTGTGACTGTGGGCACGCAAGCCGCTTCCAATGATGCAGACTTGCAATGGGTTGAAAATGTTCAAATGCAATGTCCAAAACAGTGTACATAAAGGCACCCTTCTCTCATTTTTCTCATGTTCAGAAGCGGCCGGTAAGGTGGGATTTCTTGGCTTGCCTTTGCTGATGCGAAAACGACCCATCGTCTTGACTCTCCACATAGCCTCGTCCAACGGAACATATGGCTCATCCACCACATGTAGCTCGCAGAAGAGCTGAGGCAGGAATGCGATCGAGCCGAGCACCCATTGAAAGCACTTCCATTCAAAGGCTGAAAAACTGCCAAGACTTACCAAAATTGCTCAAACTGAAGCTTGCAAGTACTCCGGTCTAATAGCTAGCTGTCTTATTCTGGATCCCAAACTTTGGGTCTGGAAGGGGTCAAGTGTGTGGGCCTGGTTGCACGCATTGCGGACAGCATTTACCAGCTGATCCTGGCAGAATCTGTTGCAAATGGGGGGCAGTGGGACAAATATGAGCACAAATCGTCTGCCCAAGCCTGGCTAGATTTTCAGCCAAGTCTGTGAGTTCACGCTAGGAGTCTGCAAGGGCTGGCTGAACTGCCATAAAAAGTATAATTCAATATGTGTATTCACTGTGTGCCTCATTTTGGAGCTGATGTGTGGAGACGAAGAGCCTCAAGATTGTGCCCCCCATCGGGCAAACCAAACAGCGATCTGCTCAAATCAAGGGTATCTACACTTGCTGATGAGAGTTGACCCTGCGCGTCGTATTTGTTGACAGATTGTGAGTGCAATTGTTCTTCACATTGTGATAACTCTTACTTGGTTTCTCTGAACCTCCTGTTTGACCTACTCTCAACCACTTCAGCCAAGCTAACTCATATTCAACTGCTTCAGGCGAGCAGCACACCAAGCGGTTTTCCCAGCTGCAGAGGCCTGCACGTCACCCTCACTATGGAAGTGGGTCATATTAATAGCAATGGCCTCCAACCTAAATGTCACATCATTCAATGTCGCACAGGATTAGGATTAGGGAACCCATGTTGAATCTCAGTCATGTTTCGGGTGTTGATATGGGAGTTGATCTAAATTCCTTTATCCGGGATCCGTCATTTTCGCCAAAAACAAATTACTTTCGCCAAACTTTCGCCTTCCTGCGTTTTATCTTTCGCCGAAGTACGTTGTATTTATGTGTGCCATGTATGTTGTGCTTTGTTCACGTCAATGGCTTCTTCTTTACTGGCAAACACAAAATAGAAACTTCACTGTTTGTCAGCATGTGTCTTCTACTTAACTGTTGACACCCTGTACGTCTCTTTTGTTTCTCCTGGGTGTCAGCAAGAATCAAAATTGCAAGAATCACTGTAGTAGCCGGTCACTCAAACTTACTCATAATGGGCTGGGGGTCAGATGTGGCAGGGTGAACTTTCGCCAATCTTGAGCTGAACTTTCGCCAAACTTTCGCCTTTTGCGGGGTAGAGTTTTGTGGCAAAGCCACCCCCCAAAGCAGGAGCAGGAATAGTAGTAGTAGTAGTAGTCGTAGTGGTAGTGGTAGTGGTAGTGGTAGTGGTAGTGGTAGTGGTAGT